TAAATTTGCAGCTTTTGTATTACAATTAATATTTCATAATATACAATCTACTTATAACGGAGAAAATAAATCGGAGGAGAGATGCGGCTCGTTCGGAAGAACACCAGGGATATTCTTACACAAACTGCATCGTGTAACATTTATTTGTCAGTGATTAACATATATATATATATACATATATATACACACACAGGATGTTTCCTAAGTGATATCGAAAACTCCAGGAAGTGATCCCTTTAAAAAAAAAAGTTCCTATGAACATTAAAGATATGCCAAAAAACTTTTATTTTTTTTTAACTTTGAAAGGCCATAACTCTACAGGGAAGCATTTCCGGATTCATGTTCATAGAAACTTTTTTCTTTAAAATCGTCCAAGGAATCACTTCCTGGAATTTTCGACATCACTTAGGAAACACCCTATATATCTAAAATCGATCACAAATTGATACAAATTCCGATAATTGATATAGTCTTATTAAATACATTTTAATTAAGAGAAAATATATTTTATATAAAAAGAACCAGAAAACTGATGAGAGCCAAGCGCAAAAAAAGCGATCCTTCAACGATCATTAGGATGTTTTTATAGCTATACTTTCCATCTCTTCGCATCCCCTCGTCTCTCTTGAATTTTTGCATTACGCATGATGGCATTTTTGCAATGTCATATTGTTGCGCCTATGAATTGTTGTTTCTAGCAGTTGAAACCGATAAAAGTCTTACCATCTTTTTTGTCGAAGTCGTTGAGATTGCTTGAAGGTCGTAGAGCGCGCATACAATTTTTAATATATTACTTACTGAAGACAAGTCGAAAAGGAACCGTCTATCTGGATAATTAAAGAAATTTTTTGCAGATAATTTATTCGCGCCTGTTATTTGCGCTTGACTTTCATTATAGCTCGTTGCCTTTTTGTTTTTATATTACTTATTAAAGCTTCTCATTTTATTTTTATATATTTTTATTTTATCAGCACGAAAATGCATTTCCACTCTGACTCTCATCTTTTAATCGCATAGAAATGCAGCCGTCACTCCATCATTGTACGCTGGAACAATAAGCGACGTGGACAAAATGGCTGCATTGTTTTCCGCGCGATTTTTTCGGATATACGCGTAGCGAACTACCATTGCAAATTATTTCGGAAGCGTCGTCGAAATCATAACATTCGACATTCGATGTCGCGAAAACACATAGTATTCTACGCGCGCGATAAGAATTAGCATTCTGAAACAAATTTGCAAACGGCTACACCGACGCGTTGTCTGCAAAAACGTATTAAGTCATTTATCATGGTAGGTC